CACACACACACACACACACACACACACACACACACACACACACACACACACAGTGAGATTAATTTTTTTTAACAATCTGATTCGTGGTGAAATCTGTCAGCTGATCTGAAAACTTAAAATGATCACATGACGCGTTTCTTCTTCCTCAGGTCCATCCTCTGCTTCTGGCAGAGAGGGCGGAGTCTTGCACTGTGTGGCTACTAAGATACACCCTACACATGACCTCAGCACCCACTGGCCCCGCCCACAAAGGTGAGGAAGGCGAGTCAGCCGCTGTGGCAGACAGGCAGGTTTTTATTCAGACTTTTGGATGGATGGTAGTTTGATGGACGGTCAGGTGATGGACGGTCAGGTGATGGACGGTCAGGTGATGGACGCACAGACGATGGACGGATGGACGGTGGACGGTAAGAGGACATGTCTCACTTTGTGTCTGCAGGCGGCTGAGGGCTCAGCTGTCTAATCTTTACAACATGTCAGAAAAATAATCTCATAATCTGAGCTCAGAGCTCGGTTGCTGCAGCGACAGGGCTGGAAGATGCTGCAGTGAGGACTGGACAGGTAAGGCTCACCTGTGAGGGTCAGAGGTCACAGCAGCAGTGACATCATCACGTAAAAGTAAAGATCTGAGGGATGCTTTTAGCTACAGTTTAAATCAAGTTTGACCAAAGTGATTTTAGCTAACAAACAAGGAGCTAAAGCTCACTCAGTTCAGCTGATGATGAGCTAAACTTTGCTGTGGTCGTAGCTGAGAGTCATCTTCAGCACCGACTCTGAGCTCCTAATGATTCTACCAACTCTCACAGATTATTCTTAACATGGTTTGACCAGAACAGCTGGAACTCCGCCCCTTTTCAAAATAAAACAATCTTAATTTAATGTTTTAATCCATCCATCCAACCGTCCATCCATCCAACTATCCATCCAACCAACTGTTCATCCATCCATCCATCTGTCCATCCAACCAACTGTTCATCCATCTGTCCATCCATCCATCCATCCATCATCCAACCATCCATCATCCATCCATCATCATCATCCATCCATCCATCATCCATCAATCCAACCATCCATCATCCATCCATCCATCAATCCAACCATCCATCATCCAACCGTCCATCCATCCAACTGTCTATCCAACCAACTGTTCATCCATCCATCCATCTGTCCATCCAAACAACCATTCATCCAACTGTCCATCCATCATCCATCAATCCATCCATCCATCCATCCATCATCCAACCATCCATCAATCCATCCATCCATCATCCATCCATCAATCCATCCATCATACAACCATCCATCAATCCAACCATCCATCATCCATCCATCAATCCATCCATCCATCATCCATCCATCAATCCATCATCCATCAATCCATCCATCATACAACCATCCATCAATCCATCCATCCATCATCCATCCATCAATCCATC